TTTGACTGCACACGCCTCCTGTCGACCTCTCTGCGTAAGCGAAGAGAGGAACCCGGACGAGGCTTTGCCGAAGGGCAAGGTTTCGTCCGGGAGGTGGATAGGGCCTGAACCCGTTTAATCGGCTTCAAAAGGCTATATTTTTGGCTGAGCCTACGGGCTCGGGAAAAACCCACATAAAACCGGCCTTGTGCCATATTCTTTCCGTGGGTGAAAAGATAAATACCCAGTGGCGTCCCGCGGTCTTTGACTGCACACGCCTTCCTGTCGACCTCTCTGCGTAAAGAGAGAACCCGGACGAGGCTTTGCCGAAGGGCAAGGTTTCGTCCGGGGAGGTGGACAGGGCCTGAACCCGTTTAATCGGCTTCAAAAATAGCTTTTTGGCCGAGCCTACGGGCTCGGGAAACCCCATAAAACCGGCCTTTTGCCATATTCTTTTCCGTGGGTGAGAAGATAAATACTCAGTGGCGTCCCGCGGTCTTTGACTGCACACGCCTCCTGTCGAACTCTCTGCATTAGCAGAGGAACCGGACGAGGCTTTGCCGAAGGCAAGGTTTCGTCCGGGGAGGTAGATAGGGCCTGAACCCGTATAATCGGCTTCAAAAGGCTATATTTTGGCCGAGCCTACAGGGAAAACCCACATAAAAACCGGCCTTGTGCCATATTCTTTTCCGTGGGTGAGAAGATAAAACCGGGTCCCGCGGTCTTTGATTCTTTTCCTGTGGGTAAAGAGAGGAACCGGACGAGGCTTTGCCGAAAATTCGTCGGGAGGGTGGTGGCCTGAACCCGTTTAATCGGCTTTGATTTTTGGCTGAGCCTACGGGCCGGGAAAACCCCTGTTGCCATATTCTTTTCCGTGGGTGAAAAGATAATACCCAGTGGCGTCCCGCGGTCTTTGACCGCACACGCCTCCTGTCGACCTCTGCGAAAGAGGAACCGGACGAGGTTTTGCCGAAGGGCAAGGTTTCGTCCGGGGAGGTGGACAGGGCCTGAACCCGTTTAATCGGCTTCAAAAGGCTATATTTTTGGCTGGGCTCGGGAAAACCCACATAAAAACCGGCCTTGTGCCATATTCTTTTCGTGGGTGAAAAAGATAAATACCAGTGGCGTCCCGCGGTCTTTGACTGATCACACGCCTCCTGTCGACCCTCTGCGTAAGAGAGGAACCCGGACGAGGCTTTGCCGAAGGGGGCAAGGTTTCGTCCGGGGAGGTGGACGGGGCCTGAACCCGTTTAATCGGCTTCAAAAGGCTATTTTTTGGCCGAGCCTACGGGCTCGGGAAAACCCACATAAAAACCGGCCTTGTGCCATATTCTTTCCGTGGGTGAGAAGATAAATACTCAGTGGCGTCCCGCGGTCTTTAACTGCACACGCCTCCTGTCGAACTCTGCATTAGCAGAGAGGAACCCGGACGAGGCTTTGCCGAAGGGCAGGTTTCGTCCGGGAGGTAGATAGGCCTGAACCCGTATAATCGGCGGAAAAGACTATATTTTGGCCGAGCCTACTTTCGGGAAAACCCACAAAAAAACCGGCCTTGTGCCATATTCTTTTCCGTGGGTGAGAAGATAAATTTGGCGTCCCGCGGTCTTTGACTGCACACGCCTCCTCCGTCGAACTCTGCATTAGCAGAGGGAACCCGAACGAGGCTTTGCCGAAGGCAAGGTTTCGTCCGGGAGGTGGACGGGGCCTGAACCCGTATAATCGGCTTCAAAAGGCTATTTTTTGGCCGAGCCTACGGGCTCGGGAAAACCCACATAAAACCGGCCTTGTGCCATATTCTTTTCCGTGGGTGAAAAGATAAATACCAGTGGCGTCCCGCGGTCTTTGACTGCACACGCCTCCTGTCGAACTCTTGCATTATTAGAGAGGAACCCGGACGAGGCTTTGCCGAAGGGCAAGGTTTCGTCGGGGAGGTAGACGGGCCTGAACCCGTCTAATCGGCTTCAAAGGCTATTTTTTGGCCGAGCCCGGGCTCGGGGATACCCACATACAAAACAGGCCTTGTGCCATATTCGGTCCTCGTGGGTGGAACGATAAATACTCAGTGGCGTCCGCGGTCTTTTGACTGCACACGCCTCCTGTCGAACTCTCTGCGTAAGCAGAGAGGAACCGGACGAGGCTTTGCCGAGGGGCAGGTTTCGTCCGGGGAGGTAGACAGGCCTGAACCCATCTAATCGGCTTCAAAAGGCTATTTTTTTGGCCGAGTCTACGGGCTCGGGGAAACCCACATAAAACCGGCCTTGTGCCATATTCTTTTCCGTGGGTGAGAAGATAAATACCCAGTGGCGTCTCGCGGTCTTTGACTGCGCACGCCTCCTGTCGAACTCTCTGCGTTAGAGAGGAACCCGGACGAGGCTTTGCCGAAGGGCAAGGTTTCGTCCGGGAGGTAGATAGGCATGAAACCCGTTTAATCGGCTTCAAAAGGCTATATTTTTGGCCGAGCCTACGGGCTCGGGGAAACCCACATTAAAACCGGCCTTGTGCCATTCTTTCCGTGGGTGAGAAGATAAATACTCAGTGGCATCTCGCGGTCTTTGATCGCGCACCCTGTCGAACTCTCTGCGTAAGAGAAGGAACCCGACGAGGCTTTGCCGAAGGGCAAGGTTTCGTCCGGGGAGGTAGACAGGGCCTGAACCCATCTAATCGGCTTCAAAGGCTGTTTTTTTGCCTACGGCTCGGGGAAACCCACATAAAAACCGGCCTTGTGCCATATTCTTTTCCGTGGGTGAGAAGATAAATACCCAGTGGCGTCTCGCGGTCTTTGACTGCGCACGCCTCCTGTCGAACCTCTGCGTAAGCAGAGGAACCCGGACGAGGCTTGCCGAAGGCAAGGTTTCGTCCGGGGAGGTAGATAGGCCTGAACCCGTCTAATCGGCTTCAATACGGCCGAGCCACGGGCTCGGGGAAACCCACAAAAACCGGCCTTGTGCCATATTCTTTCCGTGGGTGAGAAGATAAATACTCAGTGGCGTCTCGCGGTCTTTGACTGCGCACGCCCCTGTCGAACTCTCTGCGTAAGAGAGGAACCGGACGAGGCTTTGCCGAAGGGCAAGGTTTCGTCCGGGGGGAGGTAGACAGGGCCTAAACCCGTTTAATCGGCTTCAAAAGGCTATATTTTGGCCGAGCCTCACTGGCTCGGGAAAACCCACATAAAACCGGCCTTGTGTGCCATATTCTTTTCCGTGGGTGAGAAGATAAATACCAGTGGCGTCTCGCGGTCTTTGACTGCGCACGCCTCCTGTCGAAACTCTGCGTAAGAGAGGAACCCGGGCTTTTGCCGAAGGGCAAGGTTTCGTCCGGGAGGTAGACAGGGCATGAACCCGTTTAATTTCAAAAGGCTATATTTTTGGCCGAGCCTACGGGCTCATTAAAACCGGCCTTGTGCCATATTCGTTTTCCGTGGGTGAGAAGATAAATACTCAGTGGCGTCTCGCGGTCTTTGACTGCGCACGCCTCCTGTCGAACTCTCTGCGTAAGCAGAGAGGCACCCGGACGATTTGCCGAAGGGCAGGGAGTTTCGTCCGGGGAGGTAGAGGGCCCAAACCCGTCTAATCAGCTTCAAAGGCTATTTTTTTGGCCGAGCCTACGGGCTCGGGGATACCCAACAAAAACCGGCCTTGTGCCATATTCGTTTCCGTGGGTGAAATGATAAATACCCAGTGGCGTCTCGCGGTCTTTGACTGCGCACGCCTCCTGTCGAACTCTCTGCGTTAGCAGAGAGGTGGACGAGGCTTTGCCGAAAGGCAAGGTTTCGTCCGGGGAGGTAGACAGGGCCTGAACCCGTCTAGAGGTTCAAAGGCTATATTTTGGCCGGGCCTACGGGCTCGGGGATACCCCAATAAAAACCGGCCTTGTGCCATATTCGTTTCCCGTGGGTGAAATGATAAATACTCAGTGGTGTTGAGCGAGTCAGTCGATATCGCACATTGAAGTACCAACCATCACAACTAGATTGCTGCGTCATTAACTCTTATTTTTCAAGTTCCTAACGTTTTGCACGTCGAACCTAATTTAGGACGACTTATTGAAATACAAGCCTCCACTGTGAACACTACTCTACAACAATGTTTGAGGGTCCGAACCATAAGGTAGGTTTAGGCCTAACTCAAGTTTTTGGGCAAAACATCTTGACTTAGACATCTACGCCAGATCATCTCGTACGCGACAACTGATAATACGTCACTTGTCTGCTTACCCTCTCATATTCATTACGTTGACCTTCGGGAGGGGAAGCAGAATAGCTGTTTACTATTTGTACATTTATTTTGCATTTTATATGGAATGTTTTTTATGTCCATCTCTGTACATCCGTACTTGTATATTCGCAGATCCTAGTCAAGGAAAAGATGAAATAGATCGGTTTCTTATGTTGGGTATATAAAGTCCAAGAACAGATACGAATTATCAAGAAGTGCAGAAAAGGCGTCACAGGTCGTTGACGTGCCTGGACGGATCAGCAGACCATTAGCCATTGTCTGTGAACACGCCGCCTGCCTATCTTAGACCTGCTTGCATGTTACCTTATTGAAAATGTATTATTTGTTATGACGAGCGTCTATATTGGGCCAGCATTTTATGATGTCATTATCTTCGTACATTAGGAAAGAGTTTTATTTTCAGAATTCGTTGTTCTAAAGATATTCAGAAGGGAAAAAAAAATCAGTCAGCAGGATTAAGAGAGGGAGAGGAAGATGTAGAGAACTAAATGATTAGAAAAAAAACTTAAATCTCGCATATTTTAAGACAAGCGGAATAAAACGTTATTATTAATTAATTAAAATATTATCGAAGCAAATGAAATTATAAGATTTTTTTAATTTATTTTAATTTTAATTTACGTTTTGCGATATTACTGGTCAATATCTGCACGGAGAATAAATACACAAACACGCTTGGGCGCGCGCACACACACACACACACACACACACACACACACACACATATATATATATATATATATATATATATATATATATATATATATATATATATATACCGAAAAC